TCAAATTATGCTTACGCAAGACGTCTTCTCACTGCAATTTCAAGAATAAAAGCGCTGCCTGCCTGCTAGAACTAGGGCCGTCTTTGCTTAAGGTCCTTAAATAGCAAAAGCCTACACAATTCATAAGTTATTTTGCTGAATTCAATATCTATCTATTTTAAAACAACAAGTTTTAAGTCTTAGGCTGCTGGATGTTTAGTAAAGGAGACACTTCCAGTAATATTTTCGGCTTTGCCTTTTTTGTCCACGTGCCGTTGACCTACGCGGGTTCAGATGATGTTCTCTTGAATGAATTTCAGGGAACTTGCTATTGTTGTTATCTGCAAAAACGTAACTGCATTCTAAAGCTCTACTTTGTGCCTTCAACTAAATAGATAAAATGTAATTAGCTACAACTGCAGGTAATCACCCTCCCATTTTATTTCCTGTTCACAACTCTGGTTTATTTATCATAAATACTACCGCTTTATAAACATCATGTTAGCTTAAAATGTATGGTCGGGAAGATGGTGGCCCCTAGACAATCAATATACGTAGTTGGAAGTAAATGTTCTTAATTAAAAATTACCCTAACGACCAGTAAAAAATGACCTAATTAGCCTTAGATATTTTGCAATATGTTTTGTTTGAGAACCAATATTTTGAATTTCGATGCAGATTCATAATCAGTATTATAAGTGAGATATCTCAAGTCATAAAAAAATTATTTAAGAACGCCCTTAAAAGGTATAGCACGAAGGATTTTTGTTCGAGCGTGCTCATATCAGAACCAGGCAGCGCAGAGAGTAAGCGTTTATTTGAAAACGGCGAGGTAAACCAGTCCGTTTTTGACGACCTGGTATAGAAGGAGGCTGAATGTGCTTGCCCCTATGGAGTCCTGTGTATTTAATTATTAAGTTGCTTCGAGGAAGCTGCAGAAAAGAGGCTTGTTCGAAAACATGAAAAGCGAATAAGAGCGACCTCCATGTGCTACACATTTCTCTGCCGTGGCGCTACGTGTGAGTTTAATGACTGGTAAATGACTTATTTTTTTCGACAGCCTGAGGAGCCCAGAGAATTGCATCAAATTATCGAAAACGTTTTCGTGCTTGTTGTACCGATCAATGCTCTATTACTTAAAAACTTTTTTTTTTTTTTAGATGCGGGAAGCCGGTAGTTATACAAATAAGAGAGGGGCAGACTAAGTTATTAACTGCTGAGAATAAACCTTTGACTGGCTGGCGTGAAATGCCAGCACGGATGAATGGATGGACGAATGCGGCTTGATCGTTTGAATTGGGCGGCCGCTCCTGCCATTTAGCCAGTGCCTTAAAATTCAAGTTCCTGCAGATATCTTTCTATCGATCGCTCGTCAAATTCTCGGAAATACGGAAGTCCGTCTCTGAAGGGTCTGCACGTAATTGCGCGTGCTGGGCGTTCGGGCCAAGGTCCGTGCGTCACTGTCGCGCACGCACAAGACCTGCGGCCATTTTGTGTCAAGGCTAAAGGAGCGACCGTTATCTGATGCCAGGCGTGCTCGTCGTGCAGCTGGGCGCTGCGCAGTCGCTGGGGGAATCTGAACGACTGCAGCAGTGGCAAAATCAAAATCGCGTCTCGAGAAGTTAAAGAAAAAAAAGAACCTAGAGCAACGATGGGGCGCCGGTTGACTTACAAATGCGTCGCTGTTTCTTCGTGACTCTTAATACGATCAGATAAGTCGTCGTGCTTCGAGAGGACTTCCCTGGGAAGAATTGCGTGAAAAACGAGTCGTCGAGGCCGTAGAATCTTCGTCCCTGATGCGAGGGTCTGATTGGTCGGACGCTTTGAAGAAACCCCTTCACTTTAAACTTATATATCGATTGCTGAAGCGCAACGCGTGCACATGTATGTAGATCTAAAACGAATGAACGATAGGGAAGACAAAAATAAATAAAAGATGGCGCCGGATAATCCGTGAAAACGACTTCGCCCTCCGGAGTTAAGAGCATCTTCAAGGACGTCTCGTTCCTCATTGACTTTGGCTGCAGGAGATCCGTGATAGCCGACGATTTTTCGAGCGTTTGTAAACATACTCGCCCCTGCCATCTGGTGGCGAACTCTCGACCTCTCTTTGCTTCCCCGGTTCTTGTTCGTCTGTTTTTTTACTGCTTGCGACAACAAAATTAGATTGTTCGAACACAAAGCGGTGGCCGAAAAATATCTCCAACATGCAAACTTTTTCCTGAGCGTAAGATAAATGTAGAGGTAGTATTCACTGGACGTCATTGTTGAGTTTGCCGCTCAATACGCTCACCCAGTGTGCGCTCCCGATTATCGTCTACCCAGGAGGGCAATCTTGATAGGGCGATATGCAGATTGCAGAAGCTTTGTGGAAGCTTCCCGTCAGGTCGGGCTCAGCAAAACAAAATTCAACTTTGGTAGCTAGTGAGTACTACCAATAGGGAAACGTAATGCTAATATCTAGCGTTCTTAGCGATAATGAAGTTCAAAATGGTTCCCGAGTGTCGTATACAACGCTGCTTGCGTAGAACGAAAAAAATGAAACACGTTTACACCTCCCTGCAATGCCGAATTAGAGCGCACCTCTTGAGGACGAGGAGGGGAGGGTACGGAGGGGACGGTATGCCCCTCCTCATCTACTCTTCCCGTGCTCCTCTTCCTCCTCCCTCCTCTTTTTCGTCCCTCCTCCTTCCCTCCTCCCTCTTTCTCTTCCTCCTCTCTCCTCCTCCCTCCTCCTTCCTCCTCCCCCTACTCTTTTACCTCCTCCCCCTCCTTCTCCCCTCATCCTCCCCCTCCCTCTCCCTCCTCCTCCCTCTCGCGCGATGCAATATGGGAAACGTACTATAATGCAACGCGCGTGTCACCGCCGTGCATTGTGGGACGTTTCCCATAATGCACCGCGCGGTTCCGCTGACGGCGACGCCGACACCGCTCAAGCCGGAAACAGGCGCCTAAGAGTTGCGCTCTAAAATGTTAGAGTCAAGCACAAAATTTTTATTGAACTTATTTGTGCTAAAGGTAAAACAAAATATCCGTCTCAAGATAACACAAATATTTCGACAAACCTCTGCAGCAAAGACGAAGGCACAGGCGCTTGAGCCTAGCTCTGTAGAATGATTTTGCTTGTACGAGAACTCGTGCATAGAACGCAATTTCCGAAGCCAACCCTTCGTACCCATGACTTGGTCTGCACTGCAGATGTTGTGAGGAACAAGCTGTGCCAAAAACGCTATAGGTATGGAGAGGAATTTCTTGGCACATCGTAGGCTGAGTGTAACCTATCCCAGGCAACGTTGTTCTGCAGTTCAATGATGCTGTAAACTTTGCCCTCTCCTTATTGTTATTCATCCAGAGAGCGAATCGAGCCAACTTTTTTTCCCCATTAATATCGGGAAACAAAATTAATGAGCACAAAGGCGAGGTTCGGAGGTAACTGAGGTCAGACAACTGTTTTGATTTTTATGTCGGGCCTTTGTACCTTCTACTAAAATTGAGAACAAAACAGTAGGCAACATATTCCTACGGGTACAGTGAGAAAGAAAAAAAGTTTATATTTGTGTTGCTCCTGTACGTTACACGCTGTTTAGAAAGGAGCCCGCGTTTGCCCACAGTACACGCGTTTTTTGTTTCCTTTCATTCTCAGTCACTTGGGTTCCGTATCTGGTATGCTGGACGAAAAAATGTCAAAACGTCTCAAACCTGGAATATGCGAGAAAAAAATAGGTTTGGCCGAACAAGAATGTGTGACAATCACGCATTTTTCGTGAACACATTCCAGCGGCGTGGTGAGTTCAAAACGACATTTTAACGCACACCAGAATTGAGGGCATTCAAGGTGGCGGCGCCCTTGTGAAAAAGGTGTATACTTGTCCGGTTTTACCGGTATAAGTCCGGTTTTTTGCGGTGCATTACTGAACTACTCTTTTATGTGACGAATTAAGATATATTTGGGTGCATTTTTGGTTAGCTGGCCGATATTTGAACAGCCTGTTCACGTTTCAAACGCCAAAAGTAGAGAATCTCCTTCCGACCATCAAATCTTGTAAGAACTATTTCGTGTAGCGCATAAAGAATGATGCGCACAAGGCACAACAGGTGTGGGAGCTGCGCGTGCGTGGAAACCAGATTCTAGTGATAGGAAGCCTGTGCGCATGCGCCGTGCCTACAGCAGCGCCACCGCCGCGGCGGAGTGATGTCAGAGCCGCGCGTTGGTCCATACAATAAAGTTTGAAGCAGAACACAAATCCGCCCTCAAAGGCACCAACGGACTCAGGTTCTGAATCGCTGCTACTCATGTCGAGACAAAAGAACAATCGAGAAGTTTCTAAACAAGGCCGTATACAATGCGCAAATCGTGAAATCACAATGAATCAAGTTATGTGCTCGCAGTGAAGTCATATGAGCTGTTCATTCAAAATCTGCGTGATGTTAAAACAATATAGCGTACGCAGTCATACCCAGTAATCACGTCCGAAAATAGGAGACAACCTACCGAAATTTTCGGAAGTTGTAATACCAAACAATTGAGCAAACCGATATGCGTAGCATTACGCCCCTAAATTATACTTTGTTTCACCTTAGGTCCGAGCGTGGCCAATATTATGAGCCGAAGGGCCGATCCAACGCCGAAAAAGGCACACCGTCATGGCGTGCTCTCCGCAGTTGACAGAACCTGCGGTGTTTGCCGTCTTTCAGTGCATGCTCCTCCGCCGGCTCGTCCTATCAAGAGCGAAGAACGCCATGACGTTGCGCTTTTTGCGCTCTTTGACTGGACCATCGGCTCATAGCAACTGCTAGGCTCGGACCTAAGCTGACACCAAGTATAAAGCCGCGAAGTATATTGTGTCACTTGTGTAAAAAAGAGGAAAGTTCATTGTCACCAGCGGTTCTTGACGCGCCTTGATCTTTATATTCATTATTCATGTTGCTCATTAGCGCTCAGTCTGTGTCTTAACCGTTGTTTTATGTGCATGGCAGAATGGTGGTAACTAATTGCCCTCTATTTTTTTGTTTCTTTGCAGTCGCCATGCAGCTTCGGCTACCTGTGATATGTTTATTGGTGAGTACCACATTTACCAGCATACGCGAGGCGTGAAACGCGTCGACATGAATGGTGATTACTGCGCAGTATCAACCGTGACAAGTAGCTATTTACATAGGAAATGGCGAACGTTATCCTCAACGTGTTCGGTTCTTCTTTTTTTTTTTTAAGTAGATGGAGACCTTAGGTTAGCGGTCGTAGTGCCCTGGCTAAGTTTTTGCTCTTTATATTAAGGCGTCGTACGTCTCTCAAGATAAATTAGAGTGTTGCTGTTTAGATTTTCATGCGATAAATACTAAAATTGAATTGCACGCCAGACGAGAAATGAGAGCAGGATATTATGGCGCGTTCAATGTGGTGACTACACGCGTGACACCTCAGGTGTTTAGCTCGCCGCTTCCTTGGCCAAGGTATATGAACTGGGGTTACCATAGTTTTCTTTCGTCCAGAAGTCACGCGACCAATATCCAAAGTCTCACTGGTACTCGTATTTTTCGCTATTTTGTTAACCCTCATCCAATGGGAACGAGGCTGCGGTGCGCTAGGCTCTTTCTGACACTTTTTATTATTTTATAACTTTATTGGTCCAGCCTGTGACCAACAACAAATTAGGGTACAGTCTACTACTTCTAAAATGATTTTTTTCCACTGAAAACTGTCGATGAAATTAAAAGTTGCTGGTCAACTTAAACTAACTCCCCCCCCCCCCCCCCCCAACAAAATAAAATAAAAAAAATCAAGGTAACATTGACATCCCTTATCGTTTGATGGAGCAAGCGGTGGCCTCCGCCGGAAGCAAAATCACGTAAGACTCCAGGGACATATATAAAATGTATCGAGCCAAAGATTCCTGTCTAACCCCCCCTGGTGCCTCTATACTCCCTGACCTCTCTATGGAATTCGGCGTCCAAGTTTGAGCCCTGGTACAGCAGTCTGCAGGCGTCCTCGGCTGCTGCTTGCTTCCTCCCGCCCCAGCTCCACTCCGTTAGCCCTTCTCGCTTCCTCCTCAAATCCACCAAGATCCGCCGATTACGAACGAGCAGCGGTCGGGTCGACCGGCCCCCGCTCGGCACCCGGCCGGCCCGACCGGCTCGCTCACCGGCGTGCGCGCCGTACTCGTGCTGGATCAGCCCTCGCTGGCCCGTGCGGCGGACCTTTCCCAAAAAGATCGTTCACCCCGCGACGGGCTTTGCCGGACGAAGAGGCGGGCGGACCGCTCCACGCAGCCCTCGTCGGGAGAGCGCCGCTGCGTCCGCCGTCTCCCCCCCACCAACAGGGCGACAGTAAAAGAGCCTAACGACTCGTTCCTTCCGCTTTGTCAAGTGTGAACGGCTGTTGACTCGTCTCCGTCGAGCAGCGAGCGCACGTCGATCGGCTCGGTCAGTTTCGGAGGCAACCTACCTGGGCCCGTTTGCTCGGAGCGCTAACCGCGGCTAAAGTTAGCCGCAGTACCTAGGAGAGGGATTTTGAAATCACGTGACTGGGCTCGGTAGGGATGCGGGGAAACATGGCGGTGCACCGATGCCTGAACGCCGCTCGCTTTGAAACTAATATGTCGTTGTAGCTGCAGTATCGGGCGCGTTAGTCAGCAACGAATGGTGCAGGAGGCTTTCGCTTTGCCTTACCTCACGTAAATCGCAAAGCACGAGCAATGACCTCGCCGCATTTTTTAGTAGTCTTTCGATTCTGGCTTTTCCTAAGCCTAAATCAACGCGATAATTGTCGGCATGGCAACGTCTTTGGAAAGTGGATTGCCTTGATTCGATCGGCCGGGTATTGAAATCGCACAAAAGCAGACAGCGTCCCAATAGACCTTTTTCTAAAGTACTCAAGCACCGAGGTGCGTGCTACGAGTGTAGTTACACGCGTTGCACGTGCTGGCGTCTGCAGTAGTAATTGTTCTAAAGCAAAAAGTCTAAAAATCATTTTGCCTTGCACGCACGTTCGTCTAAGCCTTATTATGATTATTTACTTTGAATCTTTTATAAGAGGAAGGTCAGCGCGCGCGGACCATAGAATTACACTTCCAGCGTTCTCCTCAGTGCTTGGGTAATTTAGGAAAAGGTCTATTGGGACGCTGTCTGCTTTTCTGTGCAATCAGTAGCCGGCCGATTGAGTCAAGGCAATCAGCTTTCCAAAGACGTTGCCATGCCGACAATAATCGCGTTCTTTTAGGCTTAGGAAAGGCCTGAATAAAGCGACTATCTAAAAAATGCGGCAAGGTCGTTGCACGTGCTTTGTGATTTAAGGGAGGTAAGGCAAAGCGAAAGCCTCCTGCACCATTTGTTGCTGACTAACGTGCCCGATACTGCAGCTACAATGACATATTAGTTCCAAAGCGAGCGGCGTTCACTTACCGGGGCACCGCTATGTTTCCCCGCATTTCTACCGAGCCAGTCACGTGATTTTAAAATCCCTCTCCTAGGTACTGCGGCTAACTTTAGCCGCGGTTAGCGCTTCGAGCAAACGGGCTTTGGTCGTAGGTCTCGCTAAACCGCGATAACACTGCTAACACTTGCACGATACAAAAGACAGTCTGTAGTGGACTCTGTATGAGGAATGTTTCTTCCTCGCACGACCTTCCTCTCATCTTGGTCGTACGAGTACAGTCTGCAGAATTGTTCGAAGCAGACCTAAGCGCGCTTCGAACATTCTTGAGGCGCGTCCGCGGGGTGATTCCCTCATCGTGTCTGCCGCGAATACCCGGCGTGTCTTCCGCGTGGCTGCAAATTTACCGAAAACCGCACGAGGGAAACTCGTGACATGACCTCGGAGGAAGGATTTTAGCCGAAGACGCGTATACTTGGAATACACAGAGGCGAGGGAAAAAATAAACGTGCAACCGAACGAAGAGGAATATATATATATATATACAGGGTGTTTCATGAAAGGTGGACAAATTGGATATTGCGAAAACTACACGTCGCAAAAAAAAAAGAAAAAAAAAATACTTGTGTCGTTTGTCCTGGGCCAGGGGTCTATTTAGGAAACTTATTAAAGTCCGGAATAATTAGGTTATTAATTATTTTAGCGTAATTAACTTTTTAATATTGTGTTTAAGGGCATGGTTTCAATTAGAAAATTGCTCAGCACCATCAAACAAACACTACATCAACAAATTGCAGAACGATAGAAGGCACGCGAAGCATTTTACGGCTTTCTGAAAAACCGCGAAAATTCGACGGCTTTTGAAGTTTCGGTTTGCTGTCGGAGCGCATCTCGGCCCCGACGGCACCACGCCCTTTGGAGAAATAGTGCAACCAACCTCTGCTGCGCTGTTATCGCGCGACGCAGCAGAGGCTGGTAGTTTACAGAGTTAACGCTTAGTGATAAACAAAATATTTATTTTTAGAATATACCAGAAAAACCACTAGTTATTTCATACAGATTCCGAGAAAAAGGGAATACCACAGCCCACCATACGTTTCCTGAGCTCCCTCTTAAATTTACTAAAATTGTTATTGGAATCTATCAGGTCTTTAATGTTATTCAGAGCTCTACCCACTTAATACAGTGAGTAACTATATCAAGTGACTAACTTCGGAACTACATTCATCTTACATAATGACATCGAGGAATCAAGGGGGAAGAAGACACCCGCTACTTGCTTGTGACTTGCACGTTTCGGGGTTTTTTCACATAAATAACGTTTTTCGCTCTCTCCCTGCCAAACAACAACACGTTTTACCGGGACGATTATGTTCCCGCAATCTTGCTTTTTTTAGGGACTACATTTTTTTGTAAGATCGAACGCTCTAAAGCGATATTTGGTGAGAATCAGGTCTTCGCGTAAGGAACAATTATCTCCCTGACTGGCACTTTTCTTTTTTTTTTTTCAAGTAGAGTAATTTGTTTCCACAAAAGATTGGACCGTGCACTTCAGACTATCGCTCACTTAGTAATTCTACACTGTGCGGTCCCGCACTGTTATGGGCCGCCCCGGGCAAAGATCTGGACCCGGATCAGCGGATGTCCACCTCCGACCCTGGTCCCCAGTCCTTGGCATCCGCATCTATTCCGCGATCCGCCGATTCTGGTTCAATTTTATTCGCATCCGTCAGTTGACGGCGAATATCCGCGGATGATCCGCGGGTAATCCGCGGGTATGCAGGGCTCTGCCGAGAGAAGGCGTCTTGGTCGCAGTTAAATATTTTAGGGAACGCGTCGCGTGTGGTGGATATTTGGGGTCTATAGTTTTAGATTGGTTTGCCTTGAGATGAACGTGTTGATTATAATTTACGCGCCACACAGCGTACTAGTGACTCGGATTTATCGAGAATGGCCTTCCTAACCCAACTCACTCTGCGCTTGGGGGCTGTCGAACTTGGAGTAGCGTCCATACTGCAGGAGTGTTGATCATACAAGAAAAAGTGTACGAATGCCGGGTCTGTGCCCATTCCGGTTCGATAAGAAAAAAGAAAAGAAAAACAAATGAATGAAGTAAATTTATAGAAGACGCAGAAAAGTAGAAAATAGTTAACGCGTCATGTGATTCACTATATTTTAAAGACCTCGTGCGTGCCACCATCTAGAACTCTCTATCAATTTGGCTCTCTTCACAAAAAGTACGGCCGATGTTTCAAGTGAAAAAAAGAAGAAAAGAGCGGTAACAACACAGTGTGAAAATTTAAACCCAGAATATACTACCGGTTCCGATCGGCAATGATTTCCTCAACTTCGACAGTTGAGGAAATCCTGCTTAGAGTTCCCGTCAATGCCGCTGAGCTCATTGCTTCCTGGTCACCGCGGCATTGCACTTGCGCCCTGTCGTCAACCCTCCAGGTGTGGTTCGGGGTAGGCGGGTCGCATTATGCCATCCCTGACTTCAAGCTTCCCATTCTTCACTCGCGCATTCATCTCCACGACCTCACGCATGCCGAGCGCGCGTGCTCCGCGCCTGCCACGCACCGGAATGTTACGGCACAACACCCTATCACGGGTCACGTCACATCGTCATCTTGGCTTTAGCAAAATACAAGGCACAGAGAAAGAAAGGGTGAGAAAGAGAGAGAAAGAGA